ATTCGAACAGCTCTCTGATGAAGAACAATAGTTTATTCTGGAGAGAGTGTTGTGTTAAGTGAAGAAAAATTACTGTATAATTTGAATCTTCTGCTTGTTATGCTGGTATGTTTCATGTATCAGATGTTCTTGTGTTTCAGGTACCAGTGGAGTGAATGAGACTCATGTGTTCATCAGTTCTGGTGAAGATGTCCGTCTGCTCTGTAATAATGCTCTTCATGACTGCACATCAACTACATGGAACTATAACAGTTATTCAGCAGCAGTTGAACTGATTGGTTCAGGGATAAAGAAGAACAACACAGAGAGACATGAGAGACTGAGTCTGGGGTCTGACTGCTCTCTGAACATCAACAACATCAATAAAGAAGATTATGGATATTACACCTGCCAACAATGGACTGGTGTGAATAGAGACCAAAAACAAGGAACTGATACACATGTTTATCTGCATGTTCTTCACGGTAATTTTATGCTTATGTGGTCAATTGAAAAAGGGCAAATTCTTCATTTAATCTCTCCTGATGATTGAAGAGTCTGTGATTTGTGTGTTATTTTGTGTTTCAGTCTCTTCATCCTCCTCCTCATCCTCACAGACTGAGATCAGTGCAGGCCGCTCTGTGACTCTCTTCTGTCAGTTGTATTCATATGCTGAAGGCTCTTGTGATGATTGGATCCGTTCTGAGAGAATTGAGCTGTTCTGGGTGAATCAGACTGGAGTTAAACTGACGAGATCAGACTCCAGATATCAGATATTATCCTCATCACATCACTGTATCATCACTCTGAATACAACACTCCTGAATGAATATCACAACAGAGAGTGGAGATGCAATGTTACTCAAAGAGATCAAGTCAAGAGCTCCGTCAAATACACTGTCAAGAGTTCAGGTGAGAAATTAACTTTCCTGACTCAATTTCAGAAGACTCTCTGATACAGACACATGACATGAGGATTAATAATGCCATTCATTCAGAAGAACTGAAGGGTTGCATATAAACAAGGTATAATTTGCTTTATGTAATCATATTTTGCCAGTGCTATTTCTGAGCATAAAAGGGTGCTAAGATAAATCTTAAATGATAATAGATGACAGACTCATGAAGCAGTGGAAATTCACACAG